CATCCTCCCCTGAGGACCAGTCCTCCAGACCGTACCTCTGTCCTCCTCCAGCATCCAACCCTAAGGAGCACGTCTCCAGGCCCCTCCCCTGTCCTCCTCTGTCCTGTTCCCCGAGGACCAACTTTTATGGACGTAGGTCTCTTCTCTCGTGGCCTTCATGGTGAGGGATAAGAAAGAGCAGTTGCAACAGTTAGGATGGAGAAACAAGTCACACACGACGCCCTTCTCCAAGGAACGGTCCCTCCTAGCAACGTGCTCAAAGTGTGCGAGACAAAACTTCACCATCCTTGGCTCCAAGGAGCACTCTGGCTGCACCTGCTCCAAGACGTAGCTGTTTGTTTTTTTAGCAGCCCATAGGAAATTTGATACCTTTCCCCAAAACATCAACTCAAAGGCATCGACTCTTCTGTCACCCTAATCATTGTCCAGCTCTCAGATGCACACAAGTGATTGAAAAGACTATGACCTGAAATTAAGCAAACCTTAATCTTTAAATTTAACCACGCAGTGCTCCGCTGCTCTGTTTGTACAACAGCTTCCAGGTCCAGGTCTAGGTTCCTCATGACCACAGTCAAGTGCTCTGGGATTCCCGTTCTTCTCAATGTCAGCCACAGCTTGTCATGATTCACACAGTCAAATGCCTTTGTGTAGTCAGTAAAGCACAGACAGAAATTATTCTGGTATTCCTTACTTTCAGCCAGGATCCATCTGACATCAGCAATGATATCCCTAGTGCCATGGCTTCTTCTAAATCCTGCTTGAACTTCTGGTAGTTCCCTATTTACATACTGTTCTAGCCATTTTTTAAAAATGATCTTCAGAGTATTTTGCTTGCATGTGATATTAATGATATTGTTCCATAGTTTCTGCATGGTTTAAGATTGAGAAGGGAGTGTGTCTGGGTTGTATTCTCTCTTTATACCTATTCAATATGTATGCTGAGCAAATTATCCGAGAAGCAGGACTCTACGAAGAGGAGTGTGGCAACAAGGTTGAAGGGAAACTCATAAAAAACCTGCATTATACAGATGGCACAACCGTGCTTGCTGAAAGTGAGGAGAACTTGAAGCACTTGCAGAAGATCAAGGAATGTAACCTTAGGTATGGATTGTGTCTCAATGTTTAAAAAAACAAAGATTCTTAACATTGAATCAACAGGCAGCATCTTGATGGATGGAGAGGAGACTGAAACCATCAACAGCTTCATCTTGCTTGGACGGACAATTAACACCCCTGCTACCAGTAGTCAGGAAATAAGGAGACACATGGCACTGGGAAAATCTGCAGTTAGGGACCACTCCAAATTATCAAGGAATAATGATGTCGGTTTGAGAACTAAGGTGCATCTGGTTCAGGTCACACTCTTTTAATTACTGGTTATGCATCTTAGAGCTGGACAATAAATAAGGATGACAGAAAAATAATTGATGTCGTTGAGCTGTGGTGTTATGGAAGAGCACTGAACATCCCATGGTCTGCCAAGAGAACGAACAGATATATTGTGAAGAGGGTGCAGCCTCACATACTTTGAGCAAATTGCTAGGAGTGGCTACTCCTTGCAGAAAGACGTAATGCTGGGAAGGGTGGAGGGTTGGGGAAGGAGAGGAAGACCCTCAATCAAGTGGATTGACACGGTGACTGCTGCAATGGGCTCTTATGTGCCAGGAGCTGTGGCCATGGCACAGTATAGAACAGGGTTCAGGCCTTTTGTTCATAGGATCGCTATGAGTCATACTCAACTTGATGGCACCAAACAACAACGACAACAATCTTTAAATTGACATCATTGCTCTTTAAAACTCTGGAGAAGTCTTTGACATCAGACTTTCCCAGTGCCATACATCTTGTAATCTGCATCTCCTGACTGCTAGTACCAAGAGTGTTGATTGTGGGTCCAAGTGTGATAAAATTGTTGACAATTTCAATCTGTTCTCCATCTATCATGCTGTTACCTATTGGCCCAGTGGTAAAGAGTTTTGTTTTCTTGGCATTGAGATGCAATCCATATTGAAGGCTACAGTCTTTGATCTTCTGCATCAGGTGCTTCAGGTCCTCCTCACTTTCAGCAAGCAGGGCTGTAATACGCAGGTTGTTGATGAGTCTTCCTCCAATCCTGACGCCACACTCCTCTTCATAGAGTCCAGCTTCTCAGAGAATTTGTTCTATTCAGACAACAGCTCCTTGGTCTGGGTACAGACTTTATATGGACTTAATTAAGTGTTCTGGGATTCCATTCTTCACAATGTTAGCTAGGGTTTGTTATGATCCACAGTCAAATGCTTTGCATAGCTGATAAAACACAGACATTCTTCTGGTATTCTCTGCTTTCAGCCAGGATCCAACTGACATCAGCAGTGACAGCTATGGTGCCATGACCTCCTCTAACCCCCTGGACCTCAGGCAGTCCTCAGTTAATGAGCTGTTCTAACTGGGTTGGGATCATCTTCAGGACTATTTCACTTGCATTACTGCTAAATTTACCCATATTTTTTTGTTTAACGATCTTTATAATTGTAGGTTTTACGCCTAGGTCCTCGATCCATCCTGAGCTAGTGCTGTGTC